AACTTCAAAAACAAAACAATTATATAATAATTATAATTCTAAGTAAAACGTCAAATAGAAAAACGAATATTTTTTACATTGACAACTATTTGTGTCAATTATTTTCAAAAATAAAAATGTTATGTTGTTTTAGACATTCACTCATTTGCTTTTCTGTTGAAATTTTATATAAAAATTGAGAGCTATAGCTTAATATTAGACAACCGTCCCTCATGTTTTGTGGGTGTTTTTGAACGCATATATTTGTTGAGTGATCAACTTTGATCGTGGACGTTATCCATTGAAAAGCGGAGTCGTCGTTTAAAGGGTTCCGATAAAAGCCTTGATAAACATTTCCGACTCTTAACGCTAAAATAAATGGAATACCAATATATAACCATTTTATAACCAAAACTTAAGTTAAATATGAGTGTATGATAACCAATAATAAATATTTTATAACCAAACCTCAAATTTTGTTTCAATATGAGTGGTTTCTATTATAAAGTTTTTCCTTTAAACTTATGAAAAACTAACTTTGCATTTTAGGTGACGAAATGTATAATCTCTACTGCATTACCTTGAGGTTTTACCGTATTCTAGTCCTTACCTTTAAACAATTAAGAACTGATTTTGATTTTTCTAACAATGGAACAATGAAATCAATTGCAACTAAGCTTAGATATCCCGGTTGTGGTCATAAATTCTCTATGCTCTAATCCGTTACCAAAATAACTATTATTATGATTATTTCACAATTAAGGAAATTTTCGAAAAAACAAATTGTTCATATAAAATTGTTGTGTAATTATTCCATTCATATTATATATGCGCTAAAAGTTTCTACCAATTATAAAGAGATAAGCATTGTTGATAAGGATTACATAAAAGATAGTGAGTATGATAATGTTGTAGGAGTGTTTATTTATTTATAGTATAAATGCGGCTAAAATGTTAATCCTGAGTCATTGTGAAAATGCATTAAACATACTACTATATTTGGTCTGAAATTCATCGTCAAGTGAAACACCTGCCATTAAGGAATTTCAGACACATAAAGTTAACGAAATTGAAGTTTGGCTAGAGCGAAATATATTCTTTACACTCTCACTGATAACCAGGACCGTAGTAAGAAAACCGAGTACCGGCGAGTACATACATATATATGATGTGGGTCCTTTGATTCATCAATTCTTGGAGAAAAAACCCGCCAAAAATGGAAAAAAATTATTACGATTTTTCATATCTCTTCATCACTGCTGATATCCATATGATTTCCATATTAAGAGTTTGTGTTGGAAATTGTTTTTAATGCTTCACCTAACGAATTTTTACACACTAACATATTCTATTTAAGCCTATATTAGTAGTTTGCTTTGCTAAAAAGCTCTTTCGATGACAGACAGTTATGTCGAATACTCTACAGAGCTAAGATATTCGATCCAACTGTTTGAAGACTGAATAAAAAACTGAAATATTGATAAAAATGTATAAGATAAATAGTTCTTGCCGTGGCAGAAGCTTCTTCAACTTCATGAAAACCTATTTGGTTCAGAAGGCAACTGCAAGATTTTGTTTTGCCTAAAGACAAATTTTTCTTTCAAAAATAGTCTACCAACGATCAAATGATTAAGCGAGCTCTTATACTCATCTCTTTGTGCTCCTCAGTTCTTATCCTACATCTGGCAATAAGAAGCCTTCACTACCTATACTCTATAAAGTGCCTCAAGACATTTATTCAAAATTTTTATGACTCGCACACCTACATACATATACATTTGTCTCAGAAAAACCAACGCTTTCGGACCATTACTGACGGCTTCGACTCATAACGGCGACACTGTTTCGTGGGCACTTAAAATTTTTTTTGTTTTGAAACATATTTATACAAAATTGTTCGTGTGAATCTCTGCAAATTATTTGAGTGTTAATTTGATTCATCAGAAATTGCATGACGACACCACAAAAATATCTGAAGAAGGGTTGGCGCCCGTAGCCAACATAAATTTTTTAAGTAAACTTTATGCAGATACAAGCAAATACATCAAAATAAACACACTCATACACACATACATGCTCAATGATGCTTGAAAGCAGCTTTAAGAAGAATTTAATCTCCAACGTAAAGTTTAGCAGCGATCGGCCGCGAGATATAATATCTTCAAAGAAAGATTTATACTTTTTATATAAATATATATGCGTGTGTGGGTTTGTGTAATTAAATGGACGTAAGTGTTTGACCCATCAAAATTTAGGCAAGTTCAAGGCGTCTTAACAACAACTAAGGGTTAAGGCATATCAAATTGACACGTTAATAACAAATATTTCCTCAGACGGAGCTTTCGAAGCCCGGGAACTAACATACCTGCCTATTCGAAATGTGTCTATTATACATGCTATTCACATACATACATATATATTTTTTTTTTCTGCGCTTAGTTGTTCACTTGAATTAAAACGCCTTTATAGTTGGTGGGTGTGGTCCACTGCGGATGAGTAGTTCACCGCATCTTTGTTTCGCTTGTTGTGATTTATCGTCAATACTTAATGTGAGGTGGTTGGACTTTTAATTGTTGATTGATTGTTGGGAAATCGTTAAATAAATTTTATACTCATCTATTATTTCTAGTAGATATTCGTAGCTTTTTATTCGTAATTAGTCTTTGTGCGTTTAATGTGTAAACGGCCATTTTAATGACAAATTAAAGTGATTGCGCCATTGATCTGAAGCTTATATTCGTATTATTTACTATTAAGGAGCGATAACCGACAGCATGGTTCAAGTACCTGCGTAGTTTTGTTGTAGAGGTTAACGATTGTTTCGAAATTCGTTGCCATATATTCTCATGATAAGAATGTTTCATGAATGCACTTAATAGTAGACAACAGTGTTCATATAAACTAAAACTGGCTGAAGTTATACGTTAGTAATTGCATGTTAAATAAAAAGGTGGCAACTCTTCTCAATTTTTTCACCTAAATACTTTGATGCTTATATTCTAATTTCACTCGAAATAGTTCAAAACAATTTTATATCGAATTTAAATAGACCAGTCCGGGTCAAATTTGATCAGGCGGTGTACCTATGAGTATTTCACTTGAAATCTAAAAAAAATTCACTAGAACACAAAAAAGTTTGTACCGATCTAGAAAAAAAATTAGTATCGAACCAGTTCGGGTCAAATTTGATCGGATGGTATACCCATAAAAATATTTCACTTAAAATCTGGAAAAAAATCACATGGACATAAAAAAGTTTATAGCACTCTAGGAAAAAATTTTGTATCGAATTTAATGGACTAGTCCGGATCAAATTTGATCAGCTGGTATATCATTCAATATAGAATTCATAGCGTGGCGAAATATTTTTGGGTTACAAAATTTCCTTGCAGTTGACCCCACTTAAAAGTATTTTAATTAAAAAACAAACAAATTTTGACCAGCAAATTAATTGTTTGACTTGTCTGAGGCAAATATTAAATTTGTTGTATTAACAACGGAATATTTGGTAAATGATAAGAAATTAATAACAACAGCCTTGAAGTTTATCTGTGCATTTATTTGCGTTGTGTACCTTGTTCGATAACCAATTTTCTTATTTTTAGCCTTACTCGCATTTTTCTGATTAATTGTAACATTATAAGGAATGCCAGGTTTGCTTTCCTTGTTATACTTCTACACTTATTAAACCTTGTCACTACGAATTTCTAGACTCTTATCTTTATTGAACCAATATTTGAAATAAAAAATTTAATTTTTAGGTTAGGCGATTAAAAACTCTAATTATACTAATTTGTAGCCACGGAAAAATTTTAAGGGTGAGACACATCACGGTGTTCAGATGTTAAAGTCTTAATAATTTTTCAAAACGAACACTGAGTAAAAATTGATATATTTAGACGGCCAAGAGCATAAACTCCAATATCGCCTGGCATATTAGTTTAGATACTTTGATTCTTTGTTGTGGCCTGCAGCCTTCAATAAGGGTCTACAATTCGTCGAAAATTTATCTAAACTGACTGAACTGAGTGAGGAACTTCTCTTGTATTTTGAGGAATTGTACACAAGTACTAGCTTTTCAGAGGCAGCAATTCATTGTAACATCATAGCTTCTTCTAAAATACTCATTTTGATGATTTGATATGTGTGATATGATACTTGTATTTAAGTTTCCACTTTTCAGCAATAAGAATATTAAGTAGCGGTCGAAAAAATAAAAAAAGTATGCTGAAGCATTAAGTAATTCAACTAAGAGCCTTTTCGAAACTAGTTTTTGCATGAGGAGTTTTGAGTGAAAATGTAAAGAGTTGACTTCATCGAGTTTACAACAGCGCAACAGTCGTTTTTCCTCTTTTTCTCACTGAACTATGTCAATGTCGTGCAATATTTGCCGTTGCTAATCCGCAAAGGACCATAAATCTTTCGCAGAACCTTTCTCTCGAAAACTCGACTCGTCGACTAATCAGACGTTGTCTTTGTCCATGCCTCTGCACCGTATAGAAGGACGAGGATGATAAGCGACTTGTAGAATTTCTTTGTTATTCGAGAGAGAACTCTTAATTTGCCTGCTTAGTCCGACGTAGCAATTGTTGGAAAGAATCCTGCGGTAGATTTCGAGGCTGACATTGTTGTTGGTACTAACTGGTTCCAAGATAAACGAAATTATCCACGACTTCGAAGTGACTGTCAACAGTGACGCGGAAGTGCGATGAGTGCGACGACTGTTTGTTGGATGACAAAAAATATTTCGTCTTGTCTTGGGGTCTTTTCCAAGATTTGATGCATGCTGAATATCTGGTCAGTTGTTGATTTTCCAGGCCTCTAATCACACTGATAAGATCCAATCAGTTTGTTCACGATAGGCTCTAATTTTTCACACAATACGCTTGATAGAATCTTATATGCGATGTTAAGGATTCCTATCCCGTTTTGTGGATTGGGCAGAGCACACTTAAACTCCTATCGTCGAGCATGCTTTCGTCCGAAATATTCTACAAAGAAGCTTGATGCATGCTGAATATCTGGTCAGTTGTTGATTTTCCAGGCCTCTAATCACACTGATGAGGTCCAATCAGTTTGTTCACGATGGGCTTTAACCTTTCACACAATACGCTTGATAAATTCTTATATGCGATGTTGAGTATTCTTATCCCATTTTGTGGATTGGGCAGAGCACACTTAAATTGCTATCGTCGAGCATGCTTTCGTCCGAAAATATTCTACAAAGAAGCTGATGCATGCTCTTTATCAGTTCTTGGCCGCTGTATGTGAATAGCTCGGCGCTAATTTGTTTTTCTTCAGGCGGGTAATCGCTTTTAGAACTTCCTCATGGTCGGGCAATCGAACGTTCGCCCCATCGTTTTCAATTGAGGAATCGGTTTCACCATCTCCTGGGGTTATGCTTTCCCTGTCATTTAGCAGGTTGAAGAAGTGTTCCCTTCCTAATTTTATTATGCTGTAAGCATCAATTACTAGATCACCTCGGGGGTTCTGTTAGTTACCGCATATTTTCGTAGAATTTTCGAGTATTACCCCTGTTTGCCGGCTTTTCAAGGTCTTCGTACTCACGCATTTCGGTCTTTCTCTTTTTTGATTCCAAATGCGTCTCGCTTTCGTCTAACTACTTTTTTAATTATCATATGTTGGGTTACCAAACGTTACACCCTCTAATTTCCAAAGTACTTTAAGTTGAGTTACTCATATATGTACATATAAGAGCATACTCAATTACTCAATTGTGTTAACAAACATATGTATGTGTGTGCATTCTAAGGCCCTATATTTGTACATTGCCTATTCAAACACACGTATGCACGCCTAAATAATATCGAGAGTTTCATCACAATATTAGCATACGATTTACAATGATTAATAATTATATTTTTATTACATTAACTTATTCAATATATTGCTGACCATCAAGGCGATAAGGCTTTACTTATTCCTTCCTCTTCCAATTAAATTACACAGCCCAATTGCTCAGTAAAATCATTGTTGTTTCCTGGAACTAAGGCGGTCGGGTCGGTCCTACTTCAAAAATATTTACTATATTTTGAGAAATTGATATTGAATTGAATAATAATTATCATTTAAATAAAATTAATAAATATTTTAAACAAAACTAATTAATCTCTTTATATTTTCCTTTTCAGCACAGGCAATAAGAACATACATTCGTTTGTGTTGCAGCCTAAAAAGTGAAATACCGTTGCTATTAATTCCAGTCGGAAGAAATTAACAAATTGGCAAACAAGAAAAGTCACAAAACAACAAAATTTTCAAAAGTCTCACGCAACACTATCGTGTTTAGACCACTTCGTGCGAGTTGCCGCGGTTCCACTCCATGTTTTTCGGTCTTCAAGAGCTCAGCTGGTGTGTTTGTGCTTGATTTTATGCAAATTAATGGAAAGTAATTAAAAATCGGTGAATGTGTACATATTGATGAAAATTAGAAATAACAACAAAAAAAAAAATACAAAATCGAAAACGAGAATTAAGTGAGTTTTCAGTGCAGAAATAAGCAAGTAACAGTTGTTTTGCTTTTCTAACGGCAAAGCAAAGAAATCTGAAAAAATCGCAACTGCTGTGCAACACGCTGAAAGTGAATATTTTTATCGCTCAACACATACTCGTGCAGATTGCATGCATTTGCCAGCCGTAGCTGCATGTATGTGTGTGTGTAGCTGAGAAAGTGTGCGTGCGAGTGCATGAAATACTTGCAGTAACGAGGAAGCCGTGAACAGGTGCGCGAGTGAGAGTGAAAAACCAACGTCCATTGCGGAACTTCGAGGTATCTGCTTTCGCACAACACGAAAAACAAAAGAAACATAAAATTAACAACAACAACTTAAGCTAAAATACGCGCAGTTACTCGCTTCTGCACCCGATTGTTTTTTTTTCGTTTTTGTATTGGGTCTTTAATATTTTATAGCGCCAACAGAATAACATAACGGTGTTGGTGTGCAGATAACAGCATCTTCGCCAACCGTACTGTGTGAGCGTACTAACAAACACAACAACAGCAACATGGATAACACATCTTCAAGCAGCACCGCCGATACGGCCAACAGTAGCGGCAGCAGCAGCACCAACAGTAACAGCAACAACTCAGATGCCAATTTATCTTTCAGTTTCGTACGGGTGAGTTTCACTTTTTAAACATACTCAGTGGTGTATACATATATGCATATGTATGTACATGCGTATTTGTGTTTTGGGAAAGGAATTTTTTGCTTATACCCGTATGTGTGAGTGTTTGTAATTTGTATAGCAATTAAACTGCAGGAAGAACAATAATAATCGATTAAATGTATTTGAATTAGAAAAAGTTTTCGTAATTATCGTTCATTAATCATTATTAAAAAGTGATTGCAATCACATTTGAAAAAGTTTACGAACAATTCATGAGAAATAGCAGTAAAATGATTGTAGAGCGTAGTATATATTTAGGTCAACCTCCCATTTTTTTATTTTTTTGGTCGGACTAAATTTTATATTTAAAGAGCTTCTAAATTTATTGAAATTAAAAAAAAAATTTAAAAATAGTGCATGCATGCATGTTGCATATTAAACAAATTAAATTTCATTTTATTTTTCGAGAATTTCTTAATTAATTTTCTAAAGTAAATATTTGTTTCAATACTACATTTTACTATCAGTAAGCTCATCGAGACTATTTCAAGTTGATTAATTTCATTTTGTATTACAGAAATATTACAATTGCGTATCTGAAAATCCATAAGTAGTTCAGTTAAAAGTACATCATACATCTATGATCAGTCTGTCTAAATCTAGACCAATTGCTTTAATAGCCCCTCTAGGTTTCCCAGAGTAAAAAGAAAATTTTTTTTCTCATATTAAAAATGAAATATTTTATTAAAATTTTTTATTGTTACAAACATACACTAGCAGTACTATTAACAGAGAAATTATGAAATTTTTGGAAAAAAATATTTCAAACTTGGCCCTTCCGACGCCATTTGCTGTGACCCCTTACCTTACAGGATCATAATCTAAAGTGAAAAATACCTATTTCAGTTAAAACTTAACTTAGAACATGGACGAAGGAAAAAACTGTTGATTGGATTTACAAAAATATGAAAATTTCAGCAAAAATTTCGCACATTTTTTTTTCAAATAGTTGTAATCGAAAAAAAAATACTTCGTCCAAGTCTTTAAGAATTGTATCTCAAAGACTTGTGTAAAATTTCATGAAAATCGGTTGGGTAGTTCTCGAGAATTCTTGCCAACCGAGTTTTAAAACACAGTTTCAAGAAAACGAGGGCACAAGTTCTCAAGGCTGTATCTCCGAAACTATTACTCTTATCAACTTAGTAATTTAGGTCCCGTAAACCCATGTAACCCTTTAACAAACGATCTGTAATCGTATGAATTTTGAGGTTGTGCTCAAGCTTAGGAGATTTTTTGTTAAGAGGAGTTATTTTTGGGGTAAAGATCCGTTGTCAGTCCTAATAGAAAAGATTGTGGCAGTAAAAAATAAATTACAATCTATGTATATAGTTCTATATATACAGTACCAATTGTATATTACCACTATTTCGCCGGTCTACAATTTTTTAAGTGAGATTTTACTCTCTTTCTCCAAATATACACAAAATATTCTCTTCGTGTTCAGAAATCTAAAGATAGATAGTAATACTATATATTAGAGTGATCAAAAACCCCTTTTAAAGCTTTTAAATGTGTAAATTTTTGAATTAGCGTTAAAAGAATCAACCGAGGTTGGTTTTTTATGTTCTACAAGAGTCTGTGTGTGAAAAAATGTTGCCACAAACGGTTCAAAAGTTGTGGTATTTTTAAGGAATATCAAAAAAAGGTTAATGCGGTTGCACTGAAGCTGGAGTACTCTTCGCAAATAATAAGAATATGATTTTGTATGACAGCTATGTATGTAAAAAGTAGAAAATTCATTCAGATATTGTAACGTTGTCTTACTTAGAAAAAAATCCATGCCAAATTTTGTAAAGATACTTATCAAATATCGAGCGATCAGTTTGTATCCCTCTGGAGATTGCACCATTGCCTTTCGCAATAACTCAATTATCTTGATTCCGATCGTTCAGTTTATTTCAGATACTTTGAATTCTCATCGACACCTTTTAAAATTAAGCTGAAATTTCTTACTTGCAAACATATTTTTATTTCTGTATACAGATTCGATTGTTTTAACCTATAAATTCGATGGTTTATTTTTGGCACAGCTTAAAATACATTTCTTTTATAGTTTTTTTTAATTTTTTATTTTTTAACTTTTTTTAAATTATTTTATATTTTTTTTGTTCTTAGTAACCAACGGCTTGTTAACAGGAGATCAATTTAAAAATTCCGGTGACTCTATTGCATGCATACATGTAAACATTACATTGCCATTACTAAATTCCACATACATTAAGAATTTATTATATAAAATGTAGTACAAAACTTTGTACGCACTTTCATTAACATTAAAAACATATTTACACACAAAGAATGTGCTTGTCTTTTCACTCTAACCCATTGTGAGTGTCTCCGAGCAAAATTTTCTAAAGTGCTAATTACTAACTTCTTGTTCTAGCCTTTTTCCTATACTTACTTAAGTTTAAGGAAACATTATACAATCGAAATAAAACAAAAGAAAAACTTTAGGAGTACTAATAATAGTAATAATCGCACTTTCCCTTTCACTAAACACCAATAAATGTAATACGCGAGGAATCGAGAGTTGTACACTTCATTCATTCACCGTATTCAGCTCCACATTTTATGCGCTTTTGGTGGCAGCAGGCGATTGAAGTTTTGATGTGTGCAACAATAAAAAATGTGCCACTCTTTTTATTATTGTTATTTTAAATTCATTTCAGTTTCCAATGGCGCGCTAAGTCTAAAAGTATTGGTTGGTACGGCTGGCCTGCGAGCCAGCAGCCAGCCAGTCTGTGGCGCTTATTATCTCCACCGAAAAACCAGTCTTTGTGATTGTACTCAACATTCACATATCAAGTATATACATACATACATACATATATATGGTATTTTATGTTTTTGTTGTTTATTGGTGGCTTTGTTTTTATATTTAGCTATTTTGTTCGCCAGCAAATGATTTTGATCCGACGAACCATATACTTATACCATAAATATATGTATTTATGAATCAAGTATGTATGTATATATGTTTTGATATATTTAATGTTGTGGTTTTGCGTCCGCTCGATTAACAGCCGCATGAATGATTTTGGGGTATTTACAGATTTGATAGTCGGCGGCGCACTTTTGTATATAAATGTGTAATTAAAATACTTTAGGCGGTTTTTAGGCAACACCAAACAGGTTGTAGTAGTTGATTTTGAAAAAAAAAAACTTGTTTAGAGAACAAAATATATTTTATTTACTTATTTATTTTTTTATGAATAAAATAATTTTTGATAAAGCATACTTTTATCAGCTGTCTTAAATCCTATTGCACTTTTTCAAGAGTATGACGATGTTATAAAAACAAGTGGTCTAAATTTAAATCTAGAATTTCAGTTCCATGTTTGATTGAGATGTGTGAATCGATCAGCTTATAGATATTTAATATAACAATTTACTTCCAACAAATTCTGAAGAGAAAAATTAAAAGAAAACATTTTTTTACTAAGGAAGCCTAAAATACAACAAGCTTGAGAGCCTTCGCTAATATGACGCCAGTAAAGAAATTGTTATCGCCCATTAACACTAAAATATTATCAGTAAATCAAGATCAAATAATGTGTTTTAATTTAAAAAACATTATTTTTTCACCTAGTATTTCAATATAGGTATTTCCTAGCGCTGTTTAATAAAAAGTTATCGATAACAATCTCAACCTGAACGTTCTTTCCAGTGGGGTTCCATTTCGATGATTGTTGACTTGTTTACCCATGTCTCATCTGCAGTTATAATGCTCGCTTTTCTGGTTTCTCGGCGAAAAACTGCGACTAGTAATTTTCATAGGTTTATTTTCAAGCCAACTTTACTCCAATAAGAGAGTGCTGCATTGACCGAAAAGAATGATAATTCGATGGTGCAAGGTCAGCGCTATATGGTGGATGCATCAAAACTTCTCAGCCAAGCTCTCCCAGTTTTTGCCGAGTCATCAAAGATGTGTATAGTGTAGTGTTGTCCTGATGGAAGACGAAGCCCTTTCTGTTGATCAGTTCTGGCTGTTTCTTTTCGATTGCTTGCTTCAATCTGATCAGTTGTTGACAGTAAAATGTCGAATCAATCGTTCGATCAGGCTGGAGCAGCCATAGTTGATTATTCTTTTCCAATCGCACCAAACACTCAGGTGGTGCATCTTTCACATCGAAATTTCGAGAACGGAAGGAACTGTAGTTGTGTTTGCAAAAATAAATAATTTTTGAACTTTTATATTAATGAAAATAGTTAAATTTATCTTTAATAGTTTTTTTTTTTTAATTCTAATTTCCATAAAACCCATTCGTTATGAGATCAGACACTCTAGATGATAAGAAGATACTAAATATAATATCATTACTTACTCTTCTGTGGTATTCCATGCAAAAAATATGTTTCCTTCACTTTAAATGACTTAAATGTTTTCCTTGGAGATTTTTTAATATTTTTGCAAAGAGGTTCCCTTTTTTATATAGCACGGATGAACGCTTCAGCGCAAACTCCGCGAAGCATGACCGCAGACAATTAAATCTAGAAAAACACTTACGAGAAATTCATGCTGGGTGTTTTAGGGATATATTTGTATAAAGACAATTACTAGAAAGTATGAGTACGATTGTTTCAGAACGCGAAAACATAATTATGCACTTGCCAACTATATATTTATACTCGTACACGTCAAGGGGGAATCTTATATACATATGATAATGACGAGTTCCGTCTGCGCATGCGCGCAATTGCCGGTAAGGCACCACCCAATACTAATTAAAAAGGTTTGAAATGCACATTGTTGCTCTTTCGAGTTATTTATACCCTTATTAAGCATTTCCTTAATTTCAAGAAGCACCCACGGGTGCCGAAGCGTTGGGACTTGTAAGTGAAAAGAATCGCACTTGCGGAAAGTGAGAAAATAAAATTAAATAAAAATATGCAATTACGAAAATACAAAACAAACATGAAAACAATACTATAGGTGTTTTCCTGCTGTC